TTGCACACAAATGAAAATTAAACTAAGACTTTTCAAAAAGCTGAAATGTCAAGTATTTATTTTTATTCCATACTTTCTCGTTTGTTTGACGATAACTACATAACATGTAATAAACAAATGTTGAGTAACTGGTCAACATCTTATCAATATATTATAATGTACAACATTGAACTAGTAAACTGGTCCTACAGAACACAATGATATAACCGTCCATATTTAAAGAGAAGAGACAATTACAAACTTTCAACTCGATTATTGGGCGAAACGTGACGTCAGAGTCCGTCACAATGTTGTTAGAGTGGTGAGGCCGGGGGAAATGGGGGCGGGCTGGCTGAACTGCCTAAGAAGGTAAGTACCTTAGGCTATTTTCGACCTTTAAAAAGCACTTTTGGTAGCTCAAAATCATTATTAGCCATAAATTATTTGTTCTATTACAATCGAATCATGGCTATAAATCTATACAATTGTTTGTTCATTTTAAACACAATCTACGGTCTAACGAATCCTTCAAACACATTATCCGGACTTGCAGGCCGTAAACACAACCTACTATCTTATGCAGCCCTTAAACACAATCTACTATCTTATGGAGCCCTTAAACACAACCTACTATCTTATGCAGCCCTTAAACACTATCTACTATCTCCTGCAGCCCTTAAACACTATCTACTATCTCCTGCAGCCCTTAAACACTATCTACTATCTCCTGCAGCCCTTAAACACTATCTACTATCTCCTGCAGCCCTTAAACACTATCTACTATCTCCTGCAGCCCTTAAACACTATCTACTATCTTACGCAGCCGTTATACAAAATATACTTTTTAAACAGCCTTTAAACACAATATAATATTTTACGCAGCCTTTTAACGCAATATAATACTTTACGCAGCCTTTAAACTCAGTATACTATTTTATGCAGTCTTTAAACACAATTTAATAAGTATCGCCCGCTTTCGTGCAAAGACCAAGGTAAAAAAAAATGGTGCTGATTCATGAATTGCTGTTCGCTGACGATGCCACATTAACATCTCACACAGAAGAAGGTCTTCAGGGGCTGGTTAATCGTCTATCACACGCTTGTAAAGAGTTGTGACTTTCGATTAGTCTACAAAAAACACAGGTAATGATGCAACAAGCACCGTCCCTTCCAATCATATCTATTGAGGGTCATAATCTTTCGGTTGTTGAGCCTTTCACATACCTTGGATCCAATATTTCTAGTTCTCTCTCCGTTGATGAAGAGATAAATATCAGGATCGCAAAATCAACAGCAACTATGGCTAAACTGAATAAGCGGGTGTGGAATAATCTCAATTTAACTGATAAAACAAAAATAAGTGTCTATCAGGCATGTGTGCTTAGTATGCTAATATACGGCAGTGAAGTGTAAACCACATATACCAGTCAGGAGCGGAAACTCAACAGCTTCCATCAAAGATGTCTGCATCGCATTTTACGCATTCGATGGCAGGACAAGGTGCCTAATACGGAGATATTGGAAAGTGCACACATGTTTCGCATATTCTTCTTTCTTAGCAAGAGGCGCTTCGCTGGTTAGGCAATGTCAGGAGAATGGACGAAGACCGTATCCCAAAGATGCGGCTGTATGAAGAGTTGGCAGAAGGGACAAGACTCATTGGACGGCCACGCCTGAGATTTATGGATGTTTGTAAGGGAAGCCAATGTTGAAAACAGCGAATGGGAGCTCATTGCCGAACAACGTTCCAGCTGGCGAACAGCAGTGTATGAAGAGGTAAAAAAGGCAGAAGATACGCGAAACGAAGCCCTTGCAACAAAAAGAACAATACGTAAGTCAACATTTTACCAGGAATCAACATTTTCCTGCAAGAAATGCAGTCGAGATTGTCATTCGAGGATTGGCCTAGTGAGTCACTCGTCGAATGTAGAACTACATAGCTACTCCATAGCTACTCCATAGCTACTCCATAGCTACTCCATAGCTACTCCATAGCTACTCCATATTCTCGCGAAGACGGAAGGATGCCATATAAACACAATATAATATTTAACGCAGCCTTTAAACACAATATACTATTTTACGCAACCTTTAAGCACATTATACTATTTTACTCAGTCTTTGAACGCGATAAATGGTATTAAACAGCCGTTTAACACGGGCAACAGGGTGTGGCTTAAACGGTATATACTTTTTTTAATTTTAACCTTCGAATGAATTTGCTTGACACAATTTTCAATATTAAAAAGTGAAAAAAAAATATTTAAAAATAACTAAAATCAGTTTTTTTGTTACATTTCTACAACCGTTTTCAAACGAATATTAAAGTACACCGTATTTTAAATCCACTTTAAAAAAAAAATCAATTTGATGAGATAAACGTTGACTTCACTGCAAGAATCTTTCTTTGGTTCAACTTGGTGTTGTCAGTTTATAATCAAGTAATATATTTCTTAAAGAACCTCTTATTATTTAATTACCCTGATCACTTAGAGCTTGAATCAAACAATAAACTAAAAAAAAAAATTCTATTTCAATCTTATATTTGATGACAGAACTGAGCTGTAATCGATTATTTCTGACTGAAATCAATTATTTATTAATTTTCTGACGCTTTTTCGTACGCTTAAATTAGTATAAGCTCAAACCATACGCTTCTGACCCTAAATTTTCAGAGGAGAAGTTGCAACTTTGTCTCAATCCTTGATTGTTTCCAGGTTCTCATTATTAAATTGTCAACTTGATGTAAAGAAATATGGTTATTTATTTTAACTGTATGTGTTTTGATTGGACTGTGAGGCGTCACGTGTGGGTTTATTTGCAATCCTATCCGTCCCCCTTTTTAAAATAATAAATCCATTCTCTTACACTAAAAAATCTATTTGAGCATAATTTTAAACACAAGCAAATCCAACAATATTCATACATCATTGATCATCTTTATTATGAATGCAAAATCCAAAAATATTGATGTATGATTGATTACACTCATTATCCAAGCCCAATGCAACACTATTGATACACCATTGATCTGCTTCATTAAAGTTTCCCAAAACCAAACAAAAACGTATTTTAAAAAAAAATCAATCAGCCAATCATTTGTACGGATCGAAAATCTAATTTAATAAGACAAACCATGTTGACCCACTTGAACCGCTATAGAAGAAGGCACCGTGTTTGCTATAAGATGGTGGACGGATTATGGACGTAAGCTGCAATAATTCTCTTCAATTATTTGGACGCGAACACAAAAATGACGCATCCACGGTGGGAACACGTGACGGGACACGTCACTGGACCACGTCATGGGGGTCAAAGTTTTTTCTACTTGTGAAACACTTAAATTCAGGTGCGTATATATATTGGGTAAAATTTACTTTTGTGTGCTGGTCGTTGTCAATATACAAGCTGAAGTTTTTATTTAGTAACTTGTTATTGTTAAGTATTTTCATTTTAACTTTAAGTTTTTATGTGTGGCAATAGATGGAAATTATTTAGCTACGAATCTACAGCGAACAGGCAAAATTGTCTTTAAAAACATTCTGTAAAAGAAAATCTAGGACGATTAAAAGGACGCTTCGGCTTAATGCCTACTTCAACAGAGAAGAAAAAAACAATAAACATAAACATTGTATGCTTGATAATGACGAAACTGAGAATTTTTTTTTTTTTTTTTAAATTTTAAGAAAGAAAAGTATTGGGGGTAACATTGGTATAGTGAATTAGGTCGTGGGTATGCCATGATAGATTTTTATTGATGGTAACATCTAGGTAAATATATCTGTCTACGTGCTCTGTACTTCTATTATATTATTGTTACATTTGCAATTATTTGAGCCTCCCTTCCGAAATGGACAATCATCACTTTGGTTCTTGAGACATTCAACAGAAGAAAATTTTCATCTGACCAGCGTATAAAACCTGTAACTAAGTTGTTGGTCTAAGCTATCCATTTCTGATATTAAACCAACGATGGTGACGTCATTAGCAAACTTAATGATTAGAACGGTTTTGCTTGGGCTCTGGATAGATTGTATGCAGGACAGGAGCGAGAAGACAACCTCAGTGTTGCAATGCGATGTTGAAGCAAACACGTTTTTTCCTTGATTAGTAAAAAAAAATAATGATAATAATGGGGGAGTTGGTAAATAAATTATTTTTTCATCACAATCTGATTCTATCTAAGCCCATGTTCCAATATGATCGAGTAGTTTATGATAATATTGAAATATAAAGTTTAAAAAAATAAAATGCAATGGATAAAAGGATGATGACAATAAGTCTTACAAGGAGAAACATTTCCCTTATTTAAAGTACATCTTATAAAACAAAACAATGGCGTTGTCAATAGAGATATCAATCGATTACCATCAATCAACTACCATCAATCAACTACCATCAATCAATTACCATCAATCAACTACCATCAATAAACTACCATCAATCAACTACCATTAACCAACTACCATCAAACAACTAACATCAATCAACTACCATCAATCAACTACATGACCATATAAAAAAGGTGTCCTAAGGGTTCAGAAACTGTTTGAGAAGCAGTTCAATGAATACATTTAATATATCTAGTCCTAAGCAATGCTTAACTCTTAATGCTGCAAATTGTGTCTTCTCCCTAGATACCTGCAATAATTCCATGGATTGATTGAGATCTCAAGTGCTGGGAAATTGGTCATCACTACTCTACTTCAACCTTTTTATAATATTCCATCACATTTTGAGTTTTTTAAACGTTGCATCTCTATGCTGAAAATGCAATTATTCAAACCTTTATTAAGACTAGAACAAAAAGGATATCACTTTTTTTTCAGTTGTGAGTTGATTGTACCAACTGAAAGTCTCTACACTTCGAATGCAACATTATACTGCTAATTTTAAATTACTCGATAGGAAATTTGTAAATTATTGAAATGGAATTAATATATACGGCCATGGTTTTTTCTATTTTTGGGGGAGATTTGGTCGCTGCCAACCCTTGTTACTTTTGGCCAGGTGCTGAGTACTACGGCAAGTTCTGCATCTACATTGTCCGGATCAAGTTAAACTGGACTGACGCGGCGGCGGCATGTCACCAGCTGACCCCCGAGGGAAAGCTGGCCGAACCGGCGAGTGAAGATCACATGTTATTCATACGTCAGATGACCGTCGTGGAATTTCGGGACGTCGGAACGCAGACGGTTTGGATCGGTGGCGTGCGTGACAACGTGACCAACAAGCTTGTGTGGGCGTCATCGGGTCACGTGATCACGACGACGAGCTGGGGCGCCCTGCAGCCCAACAGCCCAAGCAAGGGAGAGAACTGCGTGGGACTAGAACAGGACGCCGTAAATGACGTGCATGACTTCAAGTGCGGTCAGTTAAAATACTTATTGTGTGAGCACTACGTTGGGAACCCGTGTGAGCAATCATACCCAGGTGGTAGTCAGTTCTGGGATGGCTACTGTTTCAAGTTTCATGAAGAGCTCGCCGTCTGGAGTGGCGGACAGGAGAAGGCACGTCTTGCTGAACCCAACACAGACAGCTTATTTAAGTTTTTTCAGTCAATGGCTAGGTGTCAGGCTGGGGTCAAGGTCGTGGTACCGGGAAAACACGAGAAGGTTGATATGGAAGTTTATAACTGGGCACTGGCGGGTAAAGATGAGATAAGATTCGCAGTCAAGGCATGCAGTGCGGCCAGTGTACTCTTGTCACCCGTGAAATACGTTAAGTCTAACTCAACGACGTACTATGAAATCGTTTTTGGCAGTAACACCAACACGATGGTGACTCTCAGATGGTGTGTCAAAAGTCCGTTTTCTTGTGTAATCTTACGAGAAGTGGCTACGAGCGGACTGCTGCTGTGCAATGATTTCAGAGAGTACCTCATCAACTGGGCGAGTAATCATATTCACATTGAGGATGAGTTCAATGGAGTTATCCTTGATTTTCAACTCATTAATCCAATAATAGCAATCAACTTCCTGACCATAGCCATGGGAGATTTCTCCGGAGTTTGGCTATTTTCAGAAGACGTCAGCGAAAATCAAGTTTTCTTGGGCGCTACATATTTACAGGGAGAAAACGTCTTCAGGAGGATGTCTACAGGTGAGGTAGTTAATCTTACTGGTTGGGCCCAAGATAAACCCAATGTAACGCCAGGGCAAAACAGCCTCGAAGTGATGAGAGCTGCTAAACGCTTAAGTAACGTCGAGGATACAAAGACCAATAGATTCATATGTCAAAAGAGTGTCATGACGCATGCTTACATCGTTGTGGTTCCTGGAGGTGGTGTATCGCCGTACGATTTCATCCAAGTTCACGTGACAACAGATAGCACTGATCACGTTTATGTTTCTGTGATAGAAAAAACTTCCAAGTTCGTCTGTCCCATCCAAGCGCACCATAGCTGGTGGTTTGTCAAGGTCAACAAGATTCCTGTTCAACATTGCACCCCGTCTCGAAATGAGTTCATCTGGTGTGCACAGTGGTTGTGTCTCAGTTCAGGCAACCAGTGATGAGAACCGTTGTTATGTTTTGTTTAACTAAGAATTGGGGGCACATCAACTTTGGTGCCACTTGTTTCTTCCTTGTCGACGTCATATTTCATCTGCAGTGTACCCAAGGGGGTCACCATGATCTCTGTCACAGCCCTGTCTAACGACACGATGGTAGTCGTTACATTAACGGCCAGTTCTGTGGTACTGGGTGGCCGAGTGGTCTAAACTGAGCAAATCTCAAGTTGGTGGTCTGGAGTTCAATTCCAGCTAGAGCAAAAACACCACCAGCACCCCGGGTAGATGGGACTCATTAACCTTGGACGGCAACTCATCTAAGAGAAGGAAACTCTGAAATCAAACCCGGAGATGGAGTCCCGAAAGGCGGATAACATTGATACAATGAAACATTCCGACAACTCCTTATCCAATGATGTTCCCTTGGGTTACCCAGCGGCGTGGAGAGAGGCGATTTGCTGTTGGGAACCAGCTTATAATCCTTCAAGTATAATAATCCCAGGCTATGTGGATTTCGTCCTACGAAGCCCACTCCATCGTCACATTGTGACGGACGGATGCCAGCAAAAAAAAAAAAAAATAAAACGGCCAAAATTATCACGCTAAGATGATGTTTGGCATGGAGAGATTCTTCTATGACCAGCCGTTGTCTGTAAGAGGAACTTTGAACAGATACGAAACTCTTTTCTTGCAAAACAAGGGAGATCTGACAGGAAGTTTTATACAAACGTCGGAGCCTGTCCTACTATTGACCGGTAATGTTGACAAAACTGACCTTTCTACAGACTTTACTCTCAACTTTGAAATTCCAATCAAATCCATGGATAGATCTTACGTCACCATTCCTCAGAAATGGATTATTTTCGAGCAGTTGCAGTATTTCCGCAAACTTTGATCAACATCATTGGCACGGAAAATTATGTTGACAACATTCTCATTCCTCATGTTGGAGACGCTGTCGATGTTGCATTACCAAGAAATGGTTTCTATTCATTGACAAGCGCAGAACCCTTCTACGTCATCAAAATAACCTCCGCCGAGAATAAGCCTGAATCTGTTTGTTCAATGTCACTGTTACCCTCATCACTGTGGAAGTCCTCCTATGATTTTCTTTATCCATTTGACGTTGCTTCGAATGCAAATGTTTTCGTTGTCACTGTTCTTCAAACTGCCTCAGTTTCAAACTTTCGGGTCAATGTTAGATCTTTCTCTGCTTCATGTTCGTGTGACGTCATTGAGAAAACGTCCCTGTCCGGCTGTTATTTTTACCGTCCATCCCACCGCCAATGACACGCTCCACGTCTGGGATCACGAAACATTTGCAGCTTACATGCTGGTGTATGATGGCGACAGGACGTTGTGTCATTCATTGGGAGTCCAAGTTGTGCCGACGAACATCTCGGCTGCGTACGAGCCGGAATGGCACAAGAAACCAAGCACAGACTGCATGTCTCCGACGTACAACGTGTCGACAAATATGACGGATGAGATGTCGGAAGTGACAAAGAAACTCATGCTGGACGTTAGACGAACGTCCAAATATAAAAGGACTCTGATATCAGTGTCTGACCAACGGGTCTCGTCCACGACCGTTGGTTCTTTGGGAATAATTGTAGTAGGTTGTGTCTTAGGTACTATCGTCCTCACTGACCTGCACGGCATTTACAAAGGTTTCGCATTCCAATAATAGCTAATGGTTGTATTGAAATAAGTTTTTACACCATTGATGTATCATAGCAATGATTATTTAGGTCAGCTATTTATAACTCTTTGTGTTGTCGATGTTATTGTTTAAATGGGATCATTTATTTTATTCCCAATACAATTTAAAATTCGCCATTAAGGTCCTATTTCAAGAAGTTTTGGCGCCTTCCGATATTGATGCCTATGGGGGGGAGGTGGAAGTGCCACTTCAACCCCCCCCCCTCCCTCTTTTTCGTACTGCTCTGTAAACAAAGTAAGACGGAAAAGAAACTCTCTGACAATATTTAACACAAAATCATAAGAGTGATAAATTTTTAAACATTATATTCTTTGAATTCATTCTAGATTAAAAACTGCAATGATAGATTTGTAAAACAATATTAGAAATACTTGCTATAATAAATGACATTGTTTACGGATGGAAGAGTCTTAACAGCGCGATATAACAGAGAATCTGTCATGTGTAATATACTTGTACACGTCAACCGTATAATGTACTTGTACAGACCACGTGTATAATGTACTTGCACACATCAATCGTAATGTGTTCAACATTTTTCGACTTGAGTATCCTTGACTTGAGCTATATTTTGTTTGAATTGAGGGAGGGTTACACATGTGGTCAGAATCATTCTCTCGTCCTTGCCTATTTGATCCAATGGCCCACATGATGCAGTGGATGACCAGCAGTGTATCTTGTGTGTTTCTTTGTGCGTTCTACATCGCAGGTGTTTTCACGTTCTTTAAGAGATGCCGACCAAGGCTAACGAGTCCAGTCCATCCGGGGTGCTTGGGACCTTTTTGCTTGTCTCGGCTTTCCTGGGGATGGAGCTCCAGACCTCCCAAATGAATGTTAAAAAATTTAAAAAATTATATTAAGGTAATAATGACACTCTTCTGTCTGTGAGTTAGTGTCTGTTTTAACCTTAACATTTGGGTAATGTCCCATTTGTATAAACTATAACATTTTGTTGGTTGTGTTATCAACTTATGCCTGCATATCAGATAAATTCGAGGTTTTGATAATTTAAAAATAGATATCTCTTAATCCTAATCTGAACTGTACTCACGACAAACCAGGACCTACGACCAAAAATTGTGCTGTTAAAATGCGCTTGAATGATCAACTAAACTTAACGTATTAGGGGAACTTTAAACTCAATAAAATATGAACTACTACAAATAAATTCCTAATCAAAATCATTTATTATCATTTGATTTTCTTTTATTAATTTTTTTTTTTAAATCTCTTTTTTAAACCGACAAAAGTTTGGCTTTTGAAAAGAATATGATGTTTATTTATTAAGGCCTTTTTATTTGTTTACTACGGAATAAAAACTGAATTACTCAAAACATTACAAGACTACCAAAAATTTCTTAAATTGTTGATTTTTTAAAAATTATTTTTAGTTCTAGAAATTCTTACGGAGATTTAACGATTTTAAATTGTGAATTCATCAGGACAATTACATGTTTGTTTGTAATATTAAAAATTATTAGTAAGGGGAGATAGCAATTTATAGCGTTGATGTTTTAAAAATTCACAATTTATCTAGTAGCGCCCCCTGAAAATTGCATGATTCCAAAATTGAGTCCATGATGTTTAACTAGTTTGTTTAATTTTTTTTTGCTTGACTGGCCTTTGGTTGGACTTGAACACCAGACCACCAACTTGAGGTTTTCTCAGTTTAGACCATTTGGCCACCCCGGGCGGATGAGACTCGTTAACCTTGGTCGGCAACTCTTCTAACAGAAGGAAACTCTGAATTCAAACCCGGAGTTGGAGTCCCGTAAGGCGCAAACAATGACGATTCCTGCAACCGAACCCATCCCTGGTCGTCTTGACGTAGAGTCTTGCCACTGGATATGGTGGTCTCGGACGAGAGAGTGAGGTTGACGCCGCGCAACTCTTCTTCACTTTAAACAAAATCATCCGCGCAAGTTATCAGTCACCAGACGACTCGATGGTCCTCGTCGATCCTCGACGGACGAACGATAAAAGTTTGTTTAATTATTATACCTGTTCGTGTTTGCAATGTTATTATGAAGGACAGTAATACTAATAATAATAATAAAGATTACTTGAAAATCACATTGAAATCCAAAATGCAACGTTACAAAACTACATACGAGAATACCCATTTTAAGTCTTCCATACCTGGCAACCATAAACATCACAGGCC